TTTTTTGTTCAGTGTGTGGTCCCAGGCATTACTTGCTGCATGCCATCAAAATCCTGCTCTTAGAATTATCTAGGCTGGATTTTGCTCTCGTGTGTATCAATATGGCAACTGAGTGCCTTCCACACAGGCAGGAATTTCTTTTTCAACGCCCCTGAGAGGGGAAGGCCTATATTTCACCTACAGGAAAATGTGGTGCAGAAATGAGTTCCCGCATGCTCCAGTAGCGAGGCCCAGATGGGATTTTTCAGGGTTCTTACCTTATGTGTTCGTTTGTTCAAGGCACAGTTGCCCTAACCCCAGCCACAGCTGTAAGCACGCTGCACTTTTGTAATTTGGATTCCAGGGAGTCCAGAAAACCAGAAACATTGGATGAACAGCTCTCAGAAAACCAGGCAGCAGTTAGAGAGGCAACAGCTCCTCTGCTGATGCTGCCCTGGGGCATGTCTCTGCCGTGCAATGAATGAGCCAGGGGTGAAAGAACACAGCAACATTGGTATGGGCAAAGGGGTGGACTTAAGGCAGTGCAAGATGACTTGCATTTGCAAATTTTTCAGCAAAATTTCTATTTTTCTACTGTAACTATTCTCTGTAGCTACTGTACTTTGCTTTCTCCTCATCTCACACAATTTTTTCACCTTTTACCAAAGATTTCAGTGGCGAAGGACTTTTCTCACTTTCAACCCAAGCAATTTTAACCTTTACTTTGGCAAGAGGTGAGTACAGGACAGAGACGCAGTAAGACGAAGTGCTCCCTGTGCCACTCACAATATCAAAGGGAGTCCAGCTCAAATGCTTTCCAGCGAGCACAGCGGGAGCAGGATTTGCTGGTCACCAAGCAGTATTAAAGAGAAAAGCACAATAACAAGAGGAGAGCAAGAGCATGAACCTTCATTGCCACCTGACAGCCCCTTTCTGCACTGTAGTCTCCTGCTCTGTGCCCACTTAATCCAGCCTTAGAAGTAGTCCTTGTGTACAGGGTGGACTTTCCTGAGCTTCTCTGAAATACATCTAAGTTGTAGTGCTCTCATCTCTAGCAGCTTTTTGTCTCTGTTACTCCATTAGAAAATCATAGGCCTCCTGGATTCTCACTCCGGAAACCATCCAGCATTTTCAGCAAGGCTTTTAATTTATTAGCTCACATATGAAAATATTTTAACCTCCCTGCCCTCCCCAGCTGGGTCATCAATGCTTTCCTATCTTGCTGCAGACACATCACCCTCAGGAAAATAATTGTGTAGCAAGCTGATACCGGGTGTTCATTTAGGATCATGGGGGCTTCACAAGATGAGGACTGCACGGCACATTGGGATTACTGTTTGAAACCAAAGTCCTGACCTTCCTAGGATGGCTGTGGGAAATCCTGCAAGGCCACCAGGGAAAACTAAGTGGAAAGTTGGAGGAACTTTATCAAGAGAGAAGGGGCTAAAGGGTCCTGGGAGACAGAGCTGCTTAGCTGTGATGAGAGAGAGTGTGCATGTCTAGGATAACAGTCCTAGACAGGGAGAAGATGAAGAGAGGACTATCTAAGAGAGAGTGCTAAAAAGAAGCCCTTTCAGGCACTTCATTTGCATGTCTAGCCTCTTTACAGAATCAGGATAAGATCCAGAGCTGCAGACCTCCAGAGAGGTCTAGTCAGGCCTCTCAGCTATCTGTGGACTTGATGTTTGCCCAGAGGTTCCTCTGGTTACAGAGGAAGCAGAAGCTCCTAAGCTTGATGCCAATGGCCAGCTGTGAAAACCCTCTCTTGCTCATAAAGACTTGTTAGAGCAAAGGGGGGAACAAGGGCTGCCAGTGCCGAGCTGGGTGCCCACAAGCTCACCGCAACGCTTAAGAGAGCAACACCACAACAACAGGTTCAAGATTCATGCCTAGCAACCAATTATTCGAGGACAAAATGCTGCACCTTCACTGTCCCTCCCACTGGCAGGCTCAGCAGATACTTCAAGGGCTCTAGCCCCTTGGGAAATCAGCGGAGCCTCATCCCTGGAAGCGTGGTGGGCACAGTTCAACCAGCAGGAACTGAAGGCCTCATCTGCTTGTGACTTTTGTCCTAGGGGCTTCTCTGTATGAGGGCAGGTAGGATTTTAACCATAACAGCAGATCCAACCAGTTGGATTCACTTATGTTGTTACATACGCTGGTACTTTATCCAGGTATAGCTATTCCCCTTTCCCTCACAGGAATAAGCTGCACAAGTATAATCCCCTTCATCCAGGGATAACGGAGGTACTATAGCCCCAGCTACAATCTTGGTTCTGTAACCACAGCTGTTGCATCATTTCTTGTCTTTGGCTCTAGTTCATTCTAATTCAGTTCCCACCAAACCACCCATGTGGCCTGTGCTCTAGGATGGCTGTTGTTGGACAACCTGACTTAAGTGGACTAAACTCTGTGAAAAGGTGCCTGAATATGAGTGCTAGCAGTATTTTTGACTGCTTCTCACTACCCCTTTCTATGTCTCAATTTCCGTCTCTGCAACATGGTGAAAATGGCATAAACATTTTCTTCTTTAAGATCCTTCAATCAGATGAGCTCTGTAAGCATTCACAATTGTTATTTCCAGGGCTATCACTGTAACACCTTTTGGCTGCGCTAACTCCCTCAGACAGAAATCATTCTGTCTACTAGGCTTGGACAAAGGAGCCAATTAGTTTTCCCTTACACATTTATTAACTCTGCAGCTTTCTTTCAATAGTATGTGGAATTGGGCAATGTTTTAATATATTTTCATAAACTGTGGGCACAACATGTCCTGTTTCACACTAATAACCATGCCATATAATTAGTTCTGATTACACAGATATTTAGTATCATTTTACATATTCTAATCCCTTCCTAGTGCCACTGCCTAACCAAGGCATAATTGAAGCCACAACCTTCTCCCTTCCCTTTTCCAGCAGTTTGTAAGATTTTGTTTTAGACAGGCTTGCAGTTAACACAACAGCTTCAAAGAAAGGCTCTGATCAAATGTCAGGTGACAAAGCCCAGGATACAAATAAAAGTCATTTGTCTACTTACAGGGAAAAGCTGGTATTTGAAAGCTATCAGGAAATTAACAACATGAATCTTTAAAAATCTATTCCTTAAACATCTATTGGCTTTGGGCTGAACATTTACCGTATGTAGGATTTTAGTGTGAGGTAACACTCCCCAAACAAAAGCTCCCTCATCCCATTAGATTCCAGTGGGGGAACAAGAGAAACGTGCTCTGCGCAACCCGATTATAGGTGTGTATCTTTCCCTGCTGGCATGGCTGTCTCTATAGAGATGGACATGGATATTTGATGAGATTAAAATGCTTCAGTTACCACTGTCAGTGGTTCTTTAATTTAAAATGAAGAAAGCAAACAAACATTCCTTTTGATGAGGTAACTGAATGATGCCACGGAAAAGCACTTTGCTGTCAGGTGGTAATTAGGTTCAGTGATAGTCGCGGGTTTTTAGCCTTGGAGGCTGTGGCCCCTGGGAGTCTGAAAGAAATGATACATTCAATTTCCGGAGGAGAGGAAGATGCTAGATGCTTTTCTCTGCTAACCCTGCAGGTCTCTGCAGATAAGAGCATTCAGAACTGCAGAGCTGACAATCCTCCTAGAGCCAGCCTAAACTGGGGTGTCAACATCATGAGCAGGGAAAGGGAGATGGACCCAATGCAGGGCATTTAAACACCTAATGCAACCAAGCTGATTCTGACCACACATATAAGGAACTACCCCAAATGACTGCACAGAAAGGATTTTTAAAGGCTGCAAAAGGAACTCCAGCAACTCTTTTATGGCATGGGCTGATATTTGTTACACACGTCTTATGCATCACCAGAAAATCTTCAGGAGGAGAGTGTTCCTTTGTAAATAAGCAACTGTTTCCACAGCTATGTTGCTTAAGGTAGGGGGTGGAAGGGGAGAAAGAAGAGGAAAAGGAGGCTCAACTACATCCCTTAGTCGAGTGGAACAGGTCTATTTCAAATTTGCTTTTCCACTCCAAACTGTAAGTTATATTTGGCTATGGTATTAAGAGTTGAAATCCAAATGAAACATTGCAATTGGTCCAAATGCATTTAACTTGAAATTCTGAGTTTGGGGGTATTATTGTTCTGTTCTCAAAACAGAAGCACATTGTGAATTTGGCGCTTCCCATGGAACAGGGATGCTGGCTCCTGCTCTGCTCCCCTCTTCATGGTATCACACAGCTCTGCCTGTCCAGAGAATAACAGTCCTCAACAAACACTTCAGTGGCATCATCCCTGCTCCTCACACCATGGAAAAGGGACACTGAAAGGAAAAGGAGTTGGCTGACACAATGCAAGGTCCAGCAGCAGTGCGGGGATTTGAGTTTGGGCATACTCTGTTCATACTTCTGTGCATTCACCATTGGTGGCCTAACTTCACATCCAAAAGGACTTCCTTTTGGATAAACAGCCCCAAAACTGATTGTTAGATCCTCTGCCCTGCTCACAGGCTATGGCTCACAGCTGCAAAGTGAGAGTAAGGGCTCACGGTGAGAAGGGATCCCAACATAACATGTCCCAGTTGGACTGGCCACAGGGAACCTGTCACAGACTGTCAGCACTGCACCAGGTCCAAAGAGAGACGGAGAACCCTGCTTTCAGCACAGGCTCACCAGTAATTTCCTGAAGCACTGAAAAAGTTTTCACTTCCAGAACTAAAACTTTCCCAAATAAAGTGGGTCTGATTCTCCCCTGACTCTCAGGAGATAAATGAAGGGTAAGTCCGTTAAAGATACTGGTGTGAGATTGGTGACAGCAGACAAAATTCAAGCAAGATGTCGATATCTCCAAAATCCCCTGAATATTTTTTCAGGCATAAACTAGGTATCTTTCCTGATCATAAATGCTTTATTTCCAAATGGAACTTCAATAAAATAAGCACAGTTAGACTAGTACGCTTATTATAAAGCCATAATGCAGTAGCACTGAAGTTTAGTCATGAAAGTTATTAAAAAAGCAGCCCTGCTAAAGCAAGAGAAATTGCTTTCTGACCTACCGAGTTTTAGGAATAGGTGCTAGCGGTCTCTCCACCAAGGCATTCAGCCTGTAGTAGTCCAAGAACGTCCTGGCCACATTTCTTCCAAGCTTCATATCTGTGAGTTTTTAATTAAGGAGTATTTTTGGAAATAATTAAAAATAATAGTATTTTTTAAAAAGCAGAGTGTAAAGGTGAATTACTGTTATTTGATGCATGAGCAAGTTTTACATTAACCATAGTGTGCAGGCTTCAGGCAAAATGACCTATGCAAGCAGGTAAAGTGAGAGTCACCTGGTTTGCTTCTTGTTTTCACAGGCAAAGGCTGTATGAAACAATAGATGGGAGGAAACGACCTTCCTTTTCCCCACACACCTGGCTGCAGATTCCCATGGTATTCGAGGAGTAATACATTAGAGCAAAGGAGCTTTCTAATTTCCATATTTAGAGAAAATAAATACCTGAAAAGGCCTGGATACAGATAGTATTTCTGTTCTTATATCCAGGAAACAAAGTCAAGAACGTCACGGTATGAACCAGCCGTGGCCTACCATCCAAACTGAAGGCTGGAATTAAAGCTGTAGCCCTCTGGCCCTTCAGCACTGACCCACCTGCTGTCCTAGGATGGCCTACTGTCCTTTACTCATGCTGTATGCAGGACCTAAAACTATCATTTTAGCACTGATCGGGAAGGATACCATCAAAAGCTCTAGATAAGCTTAAGGAGGTTGACAGTGACTCTGGAGCCCCTTCTCTCTTTACTGACACTGATTTTTGCTTTGGCTACCCCCAAGCCCAACACTAGGTAGACGCTGCACATCAGAGATGCCGCAAAGACCTAGCAGACACCAGAATTAGATGCTGCTGAAGACCCGGTTACCTAAAAAGAAGCTGAATAACCCATGACCATGTGGAAAAATAGCTGTAATCCTGGACAACATTCACCATGGGACAGCCCTCCTCCTCATGTGGAACACCAGCACGAGGCCGGCCTATGACCAGATAGCACCTGCTCACCCTCTCCAGGGTGAAATATAACTGGAAGAAATACAATGGATGCCACTATCCACAGCTGTATTGTGGGAACTGAGGACTCCTTTATTTGCCTATTTCCAACTCACGTGTACACATGCTACAATCATCGCATTCCACCCCATGGTACTTCCCCAAACGGTCACTGTAATGACAACAAACACAATTTGAGGAGTGCTGATGCTGTCACTGATGTGGTTATAAACCCGGGGAAGCTAAATAGACTTCTGCATCTGACATCCAGCAGTCTAGGAAAATAAGCTGTTGCTGGTGTGTTTTATGTGCATGTGTGCGTGCTCTGTTTTATCAATAATTACCTGCTGATGTTTCCACTCGAGGAAAATTCCAGAACTGCAACATCCCAGGGGCTTCCAAGTGGCTTCTATGAAGACACTAGCCTCTAAATGAAGCTTTTATTACCTGCCCTCTTACATTAGACACATCAAAACAGGTGAGCTTGAGACATCAGGTTCAGGCATCACTGTGAGATCTCTGTTTATCATTTATTTATTTATTTATAGGGGAGATTGAACCGATATGGATCAGTGTCTAGCTCTAGTGCAGTAAATGAAAGCTATTGTAAGCCACCCATCAGCCCTACTGGCACTGCAGTCAAGCCCTGATCTAATGGCTAAGGATGACTCTCGACACTGCTTTTCTCTCCTCAGCGATCTGGTCCCGCTTCTGCACTTTCTGTTGCTGTGCCCTGGGACAGTTACATGACTCTGTCCCTTCTGTTTCAGGGACTACCCTGATACACTAATTGGCATCTTAATATCATATGTGCTGCTGGCATCTATATGCTGCCCAAGTGTACAGCACAGCCAGAACACCTGATGTTCACAGCTGCTGTCCACGTGGTCAGTGACAGTCGGTTGTGGGAAACAGCACTGGTTTAATCAACAGCTGCTGCAGGACTCAGCAAGTTTCTGACCACACTGAAAGATGGGTCTAACTGTATGTACACGGAAGTTTAGAAAGTCAGAGACAGCTTAAAGTTTACCTGTATCAGGGAGGGCACCGTTGCTTTGAAAGAGTTTTGTTGTTGTTACTTGAATTTGGGGATGGCTATGGGTAGTTTGGATTCTGCAGGTGCTGAACTCAAAGCAGCAGCAAAGGTTAAGAGTTCAAAGTAGTCTGAGAAACCAAGAAAGAAGGGGTGAGGACTCACATGGCTTGATCTTGTAGTTTCTTTCATTTTTTCGGCACTTTAAAGACACAAAGTGGTAATTGGACTCAGGAAAGTCTCTAGGACATTTTGTCAGTGTCAGTCTCAGAAGGTTCCTCTGCCAGAACTGGCTTTGCTGCCCTTTGCTTTGTCTCTCTCCATTGTGTGTGTTCTTATGGGGGGAAATGCCTGACCCGGAGTCCCAGGGGAGGAGGCTCTAAGATGAGAGCGGGCGTAGTCAAGGAAATGGGTGTGCAAGCTCCTACCTGGTGCCCTACAATTCTGCTTTTCCCCTGACCTGGAGGAATCCAATTGTACTGCTGATCTTAGGTCTTGAAAAAAGCTTTCTAATGATAAGAATGGCTAACCACTGGAATAAAATCTGGGAATCTCCAGATTGGAGGTCTAAACCCATAACAGACAAGAACAGCTTAGGTCCAGCTGATCCTGCATGGAGTTAGGCAAATGAAGTATATAAGGGCCCCTAAGACCCACTTTACACAAATTTTCTACAGTTCTCAATGCCTTTTGCATCCCACACAGATCTCTTATTTGCTAAGATTACCAAGAAAGGCAAAGGCGTTTTACGGAGCATGGACACACGGATGGACACTGGGAAGTAACTGAAAATGCAAACCTGTCCCACATGCAGCCACTGAACAGCCACAAAATGGGAACAACTTGCAATTAGTACTGATGTAGAGATAGTCAAATCAGCATGGGATAAAAATGTGCATGTCCTATTACCAGTCTCTCAAGCCATCCTGCCCCCACTGCTCTTTCTGCCTGCTGTCTCTGCAAAGGCTGAACAGTTTCTGTTATGGAAATCAGGCACCTGATACATAAAAACAGAAACAGCAACAACAATCTCTCCCTGTGACTGCCCAGCCTGTGCAAGAAATGGCTTGGCTCATTCAGTGAGTGCAGGAGGCATGTGTGCGCAGAACTACCTGAGAAAAACAAACCAAAGCAATGACATTTGCATTTTTTCAGGATACACAGAAGACCCGGACTCCACTTTGGTCCACTATATATCATGAGCCCATAAATAAGCAGAACTACAACCAGAACCCACCTTTGCTGTTTTTTTGGCGGGAGGGAGGGTGTTTGATTATTTGTTTTTACTAGCTTTCCTTCTGCAATCAGGCATGCTGCACTTTTGCCCCCAGGAGCTCCTTACCTAATTTCAACCACACTTGCCAAAAGGCCGTTCCCCAGCTATTCGGATCACAGGAGCTTAGCTCATATCAGACACTAGAAAGTCCATTTGGGAGAATCACAATGGAAACATCTAGGTGAATCTCCACCTTTCACTAACTGCCATGATTCCCTCTCCTCTCCCTTCCTCCCCCATCAATTCATTGAGCCTCCATGCTCCTTATTTCTGCCTGGAAGTGGAAACCAGTGTGCCCAAGGCTCCTCCTGGAAATACTGTTCTCACAGCATTCACTCCTTGAATGGCATTAACAATCTTGGGGAAATTTCAGAGCAATCTGTTCTTGCACAACTCAGCCAAATTTCACAGATGTTAGGAAGTTCACAGATAAGACAACAATCTTGCAGGGCTCTCCCCAAAATCCCCTGTATTTCTTATCCCCACCATCCCTCCTATCCTGAAACTTCTAGTCCTGGACGGGGAACAGGACAGAGGAACACTGGGTATCTCATAAGTCACTACTAGTTTTCAAATGAGAAGATTCACTGATCCTATTGTGAACAGTCTGCTTAAGCTGGAGCCTCAAGAAGCACACAGCCTTGTTCTGTCTGTGCGTGGAGGCAATAAAAATCGCAATTTGGAAACTAGCTAGCAATACAAGTCATTAGGGGAGGTACTAAATGTTGCTGCTTTAATAGCTCACTGATCATTTAATAATGTCACTGCTGCAGAGCATGGTGGCACCATTTGCTAGCTTTTGTTTTGCTTTCTGAAATTCAGGGTCATTTCACTTTCAAGTGAGTGGATTATCTCTCTTCCCCCCTCTTGCTAGTCACTGCAAACTGCTTTAAATAATTAGAAAAAGGATGGCTCCTTCAAGTTCACCATCTCATTTTCATAAGGTCTAGTGTCATTGCTTTGGAACAGGAAGTGAAGCTGTGGTGGTGGTGAGGATTTGACAAGGGCAAACCAGTTAGCAGCCCCCGCTTATCTTTGATAAGTCCTGTGGGGTCCCTGCCATGCAGATTGGATCTCTACTTTTATGTCTCATCTAGAGGACAGCACCTCCATCAATTTGAAACACTGCACTGGGTTATTAGTTTATGGAATTCATCCAAATTTAGTCCTAAGCAGGATTTAAAATCATGACCTTCCAATCCAGAGGCAGCACTTACCAGACCCACGCAAGTCCTTTGTTTCAGACAAACAGCTTGAAGTTATCCTAAAGACTGAAGGGCGGGGGGGAGCGGGGGGGGAGAAAGAGGGGAAGGAAAATGAGACACAAATAGAAAGAAAGTTTAATTTTTTAAATAGCTCAAATTAAAAACCAGAAGAAGCTCTTTGTTAGACAAAACTGAATTCTACAGCAAATCTCAACCCACCACCACAACAAAGCTGATATTTTGTGTGTGAGAGACTCCCAGATGACTGTGGTCAGTGAGCATACTGTCAGCTTCATACAATCTCAGGAGAAATATGGATGAGGTTTTCTTATATTTATAACAGCTTCCATCAATGGAACAAAACCATTCCTGACTCAAACAAGAACTCTAATGGAAAATGGCGTTACTCGGCTTCAAACCACAGTGTTATATCATGCCAGACTTAATCAGAGCTAGCCCTCTATTTTAGAAGAGCTCTGTTTTCACCACATTTACTCACTTCTGTTGTTTCCACAGGGCTGACACTACTCTCGGATGAGTAAGAGATGTTGCCCATGTCACATCTAATCAGGAGGGTCACTTTAAATTAAGTGTAATTGGGGCAGTGCAGACACTTTGGCGGGGGTGCTATTCTGTGGCTTTTCACCAGCAATTAACCCTGTGCAAATCTAGCTGCAGAAAACATATCCTTCCCCAAGAGAGTCACTTTAGCGAAAAGCTTTCCATGGAAGGCTACGTGCCCCCATATACGCCAGCATATCTGGCTACATACTTCTAAATCATTAGCAAAGGAAGAAATTTCTAAAGTGGGTGTGGGGAGGGGATAGGATTTACCCTATTCCTCCTGCTGACATTCAAGGGAGCAGGGCCTGAGCAGGCAGGCGCTGAGCATTTCAAGCTGTTGGTTATGCAGGACTGCGAGCCATGCACGGGCAGGCTTCCTGGGGAGCGTCCTGCCACTCTAAATCAGTGCTGGGTCTTTCCACAGCTGCAGCATAATAACCAGGCTCGATGGAGGAATGACTGGGTCGCTCCCTCTCACATTCAGCAGGAGGTCAGACTAGAGAACTGCAACTTTCCTTTCTGGTCTTAATAACACTGAATGTCCTGAATGCAGCCGGACTGGAAATTGCAGCTGGACAGACTTTCCCCAAGTATTCTCACACATTAGAGGAGCATTTGCATTCCCAACAGCCTCTGTTTCTGATCCGAAGCAGGACTTGACAGCACAGATGCTTTTGGAACCAAGACATAACAGCAGTGATGAGTCTTCATTTTTATTCCTCTTGTGTGTTATCAGAGAAGGAACCAGGCTGAAAGATTCCTGACTATTTCAGGCTTTCAGGCGCTTTTCCTGAAACACTTGATTGTGGTGGAAGAAATTACCAAGATGGAAGTTGTGCGCTCTTCTCCCTGAGTAATCAGAGGCCTATAATTTCCCTCCTCCTCTAAAAGAGCAGACTGGAAAAAAGGTAGCTCGCAGAGCACTGTTTTATCTCTGCCAGAGGGAGTATGCCACAAGAAACGCACTGTATTTCCCATGAACTTATTTCAATATCAGCTACAGCATCTGCCCTTCTCGTGACCTAAACCAAAACAGCGCAATCCCAGCTAACACCCAGCATGGGGGAACAGAGCGATCTTGTGGCAGAGAGAGAAATGAGCAAGATGGTGAGGTTCTGCACGGGAGATGATCCTGGGATGGAGCCAAGCCACCAGTCCTGCTGGGGTCCTGCCCGTGACGCACAGCAGAGGCAAAGGGGGAGTAGAGGGAGCTCCATGTAAACCCCGATTCTTCTGCCGCCATGCAGCAGCACCAGCAAAGAAGCCACCCAGCATCTTCCTGCTCAGGATGAGCCCTGGGCAGTTGTGCACTGCAGAGCTGCCACCATGTGTGGCAAGGAAAGAGGAGCACTTAATTCAACAGGGAATTCAAGACACACAGAAAGGGAAAGCAATCAGGAAAAGAGAACGGTTTTTTTGAGAAAGGTGAGAGATGTCTCAGATGCTGCCAAAGCGAATCTGGAAACACAACACACTGCCCACTTTTACCTCTGACTCCACCATGCCATTTATCCAGCATTATGCGAATGATTTTGCAAGGACATTTCTGACTGCTGCTCCATTATCCTAATGCCATCTTCATATTGCTCCTTGTAAGTTACATTTCATCCATCTTATGGTACCTCTACACCACTGGGGGATGGAAATGGGCCCTCCTGTAAATAATAATCTTGCCCAAATTATGAAATGACAAAAGAAAATGGTTTATGTAATATATTGGCTGTGCCGACTCCTGATTACATTATCTAAGGGACACTGTTCAGAATCAAGCTCACAGTTGAAAAAGAACAATCCCAAAAGGGTGAATTTCAGCGCTAGTGTGTTTTAATTCATGAGAACACTGCACCAACACCTCTCAAGATATTGGTACACATAAAAAATGATTTACATAAAACCTGATTATAAAAGCTTCTGTCAAGTTATCCCAGAATGAATTTGGGCCAGTATTCACTGGTCCCACATTAATATTTGAGCACTGTTCAGTATCAGGAAAACAGCAGGATAAGTCTCTTTCTCGTGATTTTAACGTTTCTGATCTTTTGTATTGTTTAATTCTGGTCACTTGCCAAATCTGGGAAGGAGCCCTTGTGGATTAGCTGACCTCAGCTCTTTACGCAGTCAATGAAAATTACAGAGCTGATTTTCTCTGATACACCAAAAAGGGATGAGGGGAGAGGAAGCAATTTTCAAGTGAAAATTCAGCATTCACAATCTTCTCCTATTGCTGATGAACGTTCTGAAATGCACAGGGGAAAAACAGCAAGAAAACGTAACAGGTTTTTTTGTTTCCAGTTTGGCTGGAAATGCAAGAACGGTTCAATCATTTCCAACTGTAATTAGAACCCAAAAAATACAGTGGAAAATCATGAGCTGGATTTTTTTGAAGAGCTTCTTAGTCCATCACAGATTACCCCTTAAACATGGTGACACATATCATTCAATTTCTAGCAGTTTGCATTAGACATTCCACTCAGAGGTTTCTACATAACATTCACCACCACCCAAATGAAATCAGTTTCAAGATGAATGGTAGAAAGTGTTTCAACACATTAAAGTGTGGATAAACCATTTTTCATCTCTAAATTGTTGGAAGCTCCTGCATTGTATAAATCATAACTAGGTATCAGTAGCCCATTGCATGCTGCATTTTCCCTCTTCAGCTGCAGCTTGCATTTTGAGACAGGGTACAGTCACTAGCTTTGACAAAAGCAATCCTAAAGAGAATTAAGAAATGTGAGGGCTGAGTGCCTTTGTAATATAAACCATATAACTGGTTTTAAAGTTTCAGGCAGAGGAGAAAGAAAGAGAACTCCACCATGCACACAGTGATTGCAGGACTCATGGTGATTCTGGGGGACCTTCCTCCCTCGGCTGGGATTCCCTAGGCTCTTCTGTGCTCACGTGCAAATATTTACAATGGGAACATAGGCTCTCCGGTGTCTGAGCAGATGCAGAGGACTTCCTGAAACCTACCTTCTACCACATATCTGAAAAAGGACTCAGTATAGTGGCTATCAGATGGATTCAATCAAAATGCCTCTCCTTAAAGACCTGCTCAAAGACCCACTGGATTCCCCCTGACTTCAGTCAGTCTGTGACCTGTCCCTTGAGGCCAAGGTAATTTTGGCATTCGTAGTGGGCAAAATGCAAAGAAAAGCCGATTTATCCTTGGGAATTGGCTCAGGTCCTCTCTCAGACCATCCTGTAAAGAAAAGGGACCATGGTCTCAGAGGCTGTACCTTTAAAAGCCCTTGCGGTCTCCAAGTAATAGTCATGCTTCAGTGTGTTCAACATTTTGGCTGAGCTCAGTACAAAATGCAGTGATTTAAAGCTGTGAGATCAGGCGGGATTCAGCAAATTCAGAATTATTTATTTCTTTAGAGCAGAAAGTCTGGCTACAGATTATTTACTGCAAATGGGCCTGTTTGGGGAGGGGAGGAAGGGAGGGGGGAGAGAAGGGGTAAATTGAGTGATTGAAATTTTTCAATTAAAACAAGTAATTTTTTAAAAAGATTTAAGGTTTTATTGACAGGTGGGAAATAATTCAAGTGGCTGGAACCCTGCTAAGTGCAGATCATAGAGACAGGGATGGGAGAAAAAGAAAAGAAAATTTCATTCTGTGGAAGAAGAGAGGGAAGGAAAAGAAAACAAAGAAAAAATGTCATTATCTTTGTTTCTTCTGCTACGTTAATGTATTTCTTTCCCTGAGTTATCTCCAATATCCACAAGTATTGATTCAAAATAAGGCACTGTGGTGTAGGCTGCAGGCAGCAGAAAGCTCTGCTGGGAGTGGCACATTTCCAGGGCTGTCAGAGCACAAAAAAGATCTGTGGACTGGCTTTACAAGGAAATTATGTCTGGCCAGATCAGAGAGGGGAGCATCTACCCTCTCTGTAAGGAGCAGGCTGGGCTGGAGCAGCGGAAGGGGCCCAACTCAAGGGATGAGTTGATGATGGAGGTGTGTCTGGATGCTTTGCTTGGGTTTGAGTAGCACCAAAGGACAGGTGGACAACCAGAGTTAAATGAAGCAAAACACACCTGGACAGGAAAGAGGGGGCTTCCGCTCATGAATGCCAAGACCTCATTTCTGCCTTCACTGATGACCTGGACTCAGGAATTAATACCGCTCCTGAGCTCAGGCTATCTGTTGTAAGGAGGTCTCCTCCCAAAGTGGTCACTCTAAAGTGGTGCTGATGAAGGGCAGAAGAGAATTAGGGCTGTTACTCGTAGAGAAGCCGATTCTATTTTGCCTGTCTAAGGAAGGAGTAAAATATTACTATAATCTCCATCCCCCCAGTTAATTGCCTCTTTTACTATTATAATTCCCATTCCCAGATAAATTTAGCTTTTTCTAAAACCTTTGATTTTTCCTTTGTGTTTTACATTCAAGCTGGAATGCAGTGATAAGGGGCTATGTATATATATATATTTTTAATCTACACACACGCACACACACACGTATAGTTATATATAGTCCCTGCCACAAATAACATTCCTCTGACTGCAGTCACAAAGCCCTTACTAGAAACCTACTCACCCAAGCTGGCCAGCTTTTGTACATCATGCTCCTGAGAGGAGGACTGCTGGCAGCAGTGGGTCGGTGTCCTCATAAAGATGCCAGAAAGGCCTGACGCTCTCCCCATCTCCACTGGCTGTTTCTTCCTCTCCCTTCTCTGATGGGGTGGGAATAAGCCCTTGCAAAACTTCAGATCCACCATGTTTGCTCATTTACACCACAACTGATTTCACTGAAGTGGCTGGAATTACAACACTGTACAGTCCCTGTATGAGAGGCTCTTGATTTAAAAAAGGAGCTTCTCAAAGCAAGTGCTTGCTAGGGGATTCTGCAGTAAGTGGTAGGCCAGCTTTAGAGTCAATGCTTTCCCCAATGAAAAGGGCTTTCATAACAACATGTCTGTGACCATGACACAACCAGCATCCTCTGGAGTTTATCAGAGACCTAAGCAGTAACTTTGCATTTCTCCATTTTCCAGAGTGTCACTTATGGCTATAAAAATCACTTTCCCTTCAAATTTTCTTTCTAAAGGTAAGGTCTTTCTCCTGATCCTTGCCCTGGCACAGCTCCTGTGCAATAAGAGGAGAGTTTGGACTGAATGACAGTCTGGTTAAAGGCCTATTAGAGGAAAAAGGTCATAGGACTAGGAAGCTGTTTGCTTGTTGCTTATTTTTGTAAAACAAAAACCCAACAAAAACCCAACATGCTACTATTACTACTAATAACTACAAATGAGCCCTATTTGTGTCCATTCACAAGTTTCAGTATCGTGCTGGAGAATTCACACTGACCCGTAGCTCAGCTGACACAATGGCACTAACTTCTACAATAGTTGGAGGGCTCCCCCTTCCCCAATCCACTTCTGACACTGGTGTTTACATCAAATCGCCAGGGGAACATCCACCTGTGGGTGCCAAAGGTGGTTTGCTGCAGCTGCGGACACTGATCTGCGGGACTGAAACCGACTCATTTCACTGAGCAGCCCTCCCCTGTCGCTGCAAAATGAGGTTGCACGGCTGAGCTCCCAGCTGTGTCCCAGGCTCTTGCAACAAGCAGCGTTTGGCTGTGAAGCCACCAAGCTCAGTTAGGCTCTACTGCTCCTGAAGTTGGTTTAATTTCAGCTTAATCATCTGGGTTCTTTAAGTGCTTTTGGAAGAATGATCAGAAGCCCAGAATGCCTGAGGAGGAGAAACAAAACGGATTTCTGGCCTTTGGACCACTGAAGAGTGAAGAGAGTCTTCAAATATGTAAAAGCTGCTGTAGAGTAGGATAAACTTTTCTGCATCTGTTGGTGATGGAACAAGAAGTAATGGTCTTAACTTGCAAGAAAACAAACTGAGATTAGATTTTGGGGGAAGCTTTCTAGCCAAAAGACTAATGAAGCACTGGAAAAATATCTCATGGGGAGGCTAGGCTGTGGGATCCCCATCTTCAGATAGAATTAGAAAAACAGATATGAGGAATGGGGTAAGTATTCCTGATCTTGTTTCAGGACAGAGGGCTGAGCAAGGATCCCCCTCTACCTCTACTCCCTAGGATTCGGACCTTGTAATGTAGGAGCTCTCTCCCCTAGGATTCTCTCTCAGTCCTTGGCGAGGAAGAGACAACAGTTCTCTGACCCTTTTGCGCTGCCAGGAAGAAAAGTAAGGTGCAAGAATCCACCCCTTTGCAGCCCAGCAAGACCACCATAAACATCTCACCACCCACCAACACAGCCTGCAAGTCAAAATTCAGCCTTTCCCTAAAGGGGCTATCTGCCACCACCTTCAGCTGGACTGAACTTCAAATCACTTGCCCTCTATTCATCTGTTCCTTACTTCTAAATTCAATCACTGTTCTTTTTTAAAAGCGTCTCTGCCTTTTGCTAATTAAAATATTGGTTGCACTCTGGCTTGCTTTTCCAGGAGGTCTGGACAGCATTGCAGGCAGTTCAGACAAACAAACAACCAAACAAACAGAATCCATTAGGAACTGCCACTGCTGACTGTCGCCCTTTCGCATACATCACATTGAAAAGGTTAATGCTTCCCAAAAGGGGTGGAAGAGATGGGCAGGGGGAAGGGCTGGTGGGATCCAATCCTGTGAGGACCAGATGTCAAAGTTGTTCAATACCGTACAGAATGCGCTCCCCCTTCAAGTAAGGCTATTGCCCATGCCTTGGCAAAGCTTCCCTTTGAGGAATCTATAATTTATTAGGGAAGGTGGAGTGCTGAATAAATTGTGCATAGCGATGAAGCAGTGATGATCGCTAACCGAAATCCCTAGGAGCCTGGCATTTTCAATCTTTAGCTCCCATTTGCGTCCCCCCGGTCCCTACTAAGTGAGCAAGCCAAAGAGCTGAATATCGACAAAACATAATGAGCTCATTGAGATCTAAGCATTGCAATTAGCAGGGTGGAATGGAGCAGAGGGGCTGGGAGACAGACTGTAATTATTTATAATGTTGATAATCACTTACACGTAGTTAAAAATATAAATACATCCCAATGCTTGATGGCATCAACTACCCCTCAATTAGCTCCAAGCCCAATAAGTAAGCGATACCGAAACACTTACAGTGGAAAGGCTAAAGGCCTCTGTCTTAAGGCTACGCTCACCAGGAACCAGGAACCTGCAAACTGTCAGCATGGGTGGGAGGAAGAAGGGTATTTAAAGGAGATATCATCATGATACCTACCATCACTAGTCTGTGTTGCTAATGGAGTTGTGGACAACTGGTTGCTGACTCATGTTCACCTAGTGGTAGTTCTTATCTCTCCTCTGCCATCTTACTTGAAAAATTTCATGAATCCCGTTCTTTGGATACCTCTACAGGTTCTCACTAGATGACCAGAATTTGACTGCCTTAAGGGATACTAGTACAGAGTCCCACCTGAGGAGAGGAAAGGAGCCTTTTCTGGATAACAGGCTGGTAGCTCTATACTACAGTCACAAATGTAACCGTGGTGTATTGCAGTGACACTGAAACTATCATTAGAAACATTCAAACTCTGTTATCACGTGTCTCTATACAGCTTGCCTCATGCTATTTCTCTCATCCCTAAGCCAGCTTATTTAAAAATAGCTTGAGTACCCCTGTGCTACAGATATTTCCCTGCTCTGAAGTTTTTGACCAAAGCAACTCTTTCAGAAAGTCAGCCAGTCTGGAAGATTTCAGAGATGGACAATCACTTGCTTCCCTTTCTTGCAATATCCTATCTCTTTGCTGATATTGAATCAAAATGTCTCTATTACAAAAACGTAAGAGACAGTTATGAGAGCTGGTCCAAATAGAGTCATGTTTTACTAGCCAGAGGGAAGGGAGAACAAGCAGTGGAAAGCAGCAGCTCTGAGCACAGGCAAGCTCTCAGAGAAGATTATGTACTTGAGAACTCAGCTGAAGATCAAAAACGCACCCTCACCTGAAAAATGAGCAGAAGTGACCCTTTCCATCTCCACAGTGCACTCCACTGCTGTAAAAGTAAAGCATAAGTCAAGTTTTAATGGAAAAACAGGTAAGAGTGAAACCATAAGGGAGATTACTGTACATCAAAAAGGAAGACATTTTGGTTGGGGAGCAGATAAAACCCCAGTCTGCTTGTACCATTGACTTCCTTCCTGGTGAAGGGAGCGTTTAACGCACCGGGGTTAAACTCAGGCCCTTTTCAGTGCAGATGTACAGAAAGGGCAGCAGTGGAGAAAATGGTCGCCAGAATTTAGTGAGGGAGCTTAATGAAAACATGGAAAATGTGGAAAGAAAAAAGAAAAAAAAAGAAAGGAGAGAAAACAGAAGCAGACTGTATATCAGCTGAACAAGCTCTGAGAAAATACAGGCGGTGTTCAGTGAAACTGAAAGGGAGAAAAGCAAAACCAGGGTAAATGGAAATTGTTCAAAGATAATTGAATGTATGTCCAAGCGCTTGCGTTTGCCAGCTAGCAATAAATACACTGCCTCAGAAAGCAAGCCAGTACGGGCAAATAGAGGAAGTGCAAAAAGCAATCAAGGGGAAGCAAGAAGCATATGCAAGCAGGGCTGCAGTGCTGTAGGGTATAGGAACAGGAGACGAGGAACGACAGGTTAGAGAATGAAACTGTGAGGCTGGAAATGAGGCAGAACTATGTATCTTGAACTGCATTCAAATAGAGCCCTTAGGCCTACCTAGAGCGTGCTGGAAACCTGGAGGAAAGGCAGCTGGACCACACTGTAAGGTCCTGGCAGCGGTCAGGAGAGCTGATGCGTATGGGACTCTGTTCTGGTAGAATAACCATTCAATACAGCAAGAAGGTACCTGAAATTGGTGCTTGCACTGCGTGTGACTTGATAGGGACTGAAGCAAGTGATTTTCACCAAACAGAGAAATATACCTGAGCTATTCTAGCAGATGGAGAACAGAGACAGCAGAAAGGGACAGAGAATTTTTGGTCTCAATAGAAAAAAACATGCAGAGAACAAGAGTAAAGGATTCTTTTCCCAAGAAATACCAAACCAGGTCAGACCAAACCCAGCATACCTCAACATCCTATCTTTGTCAACAGTCAGTGTTCAAAGAAAAAATATAAGATATACTGGAAGTGAAAAGATCCTTTTTCTGGCAATTGCTCCCAACTACTGGCACTCAGTAACTTAAGAGATTTTCTCAGCCAGCAGATGCACTGAGACCTGGAAGTCTAATAGCCCGTGACGGTCCTAGCTGGACAGTCCTATCTCCTTTTTGAACCCATGAACACTGCTGACCTCCACACTGTGGCAGAGTGCCACAGCTTAACGGTGCGCTGGGTGAAAAAATCCTCACTATTTGATGATTTTAAACCTGTTTGATAATTTTCCTGGGTAAGCCCTGGTTCAGGGATTATGGAAGACGGTGATGAACTGCTCCCTCCTCGCCTTCAGAAACACCTCAGGCCGTCCTGCCTAGAAGTGGTATTGCAACCTCAGCAAGCTGCTATGCTGGAGCTGTGCATTTCTGTAAACAGCCCCAATTAGCTTGGACACACTGCTGGACAAACATAGCTTTGCCATTTTCAGGACCAGTTTCCCTTCTCAGTTGCCAGGAAAGCCTACTGAGAACCAAAGGGAATACCGCACATGCAGAAAGCAGAACACTGCTGTTGCAGCTTCAAGTACAGAGGCAGGAGTGAAGATTTGCTCTAGCACATTCTTGAAGTGAAGTTCCCGAATGCAAAACATAATGCAGGATATATGAGGCATGAAGAGCTGTCACAACAATGAATAAACCAGTACTACTTCCATTTGTCAATATTAAAAGCCTTTCAAAGGCCAGCAGGCTCCTGCCTTTCTAGATTAAGCAACCAAGGTGCAAGAGGTGATGTGCTGAACCCCACAAAGGAAATCCAGCATCAGGAACAAGAAAAAGAACAAATTTCTGACTTAGTCCATAACAACATGGCTGTCCTTGGTCAAGTGGATTTTCATATGAGAGGAGGCAGCCTGCACAGATTGTCTGGTGAGGAGACCAAGGAGGGAATAACATCAAAAATATATTCCACAGAGATTTTCCAGGAAATGTAAAAATTCCTTTACTCCAGCTACATTTGTGCATCCTGTATGCTGCCTCTCACAATTTGCAAGCGTTAAGTGTGCTGCTGATTCGCTTCTCATGACCAGAAAGTGAAGTGTCAGTTTATGTTTAGCCAACGCAGGAGCAAAGAAGCAACACCATATGAACAGTGCCCATCACCTATCAAAATTTAATTCCCATGAAGAACTACTTACAATTGAACAACCACTGAAGAACTGCTTGGCAAATGATTTTGAGCGAATATAACTGAGAGACCTGCAAATCATTTGGCAGGCAGAATCAGAGAAGAGAAAAGTTTTCAGAGGGGCCAAAGTATGTCCTGTAGCTGAAAGGGCATAAGAACTGAGAGCTGGCCTTTATTTAGGTTCATTCAAGCACCTCAGCCTGTACTTTTTTGCTTTTCAAAAACAGGTCACTTGATCGCAGTTTTCTTGTTTTCTGATCATTTTTAATTTTTCATATCAAAACAATTATAGATGCTTTTTGTTTTCCAAGTTTGGTCTTTTTAGAAAACAACCTATGTGTCGATAACAACTACTATTAAAAATATGGAGAAAAAATTAAAAATAGGTCTTTTTCCAATTTTGTAACATGGAAACCACCTCAGTGCTTCTGTTGCAGCAACTTGTACTCTCTTATGCAGCCAGATCAGCTCTAATTAGTTCTGACTAAAGCATCTGCTTTAGCAGCACCTGATCCACCAGCCAGGAAAATCAACAGAGAGACTCCTACTTATTTCAGTGTGCTTTGGGGAAGATTCATCTTGGATTAACCACTAAATCCAGTCAAAAACGTAGAGAAGAAGGGTGAAAGTAATTCAAGGTTCCAAACAAGGAGTTAAGAGACTCTGGCAAACAAGATGTAAAAATAGGAAGATGTCTAGCTCAACATCTTTACACCCATCTGTGACTCCTGTAGTAACCTGTCGTATATTAGATCAATTTATGACGGAAAGTGCCAACTCAGCCTAGCGCACAGTGGCTCCTCAACCCCACTATTCCTGCCCTGAGAGCCTGATCCATTTATTGCACTGTTTTTATGCATGCCAAAATCTCTTTTATTCCTCTCTATGCTGCTATTGCCTTTGATTGCGCAGAAGGGATTTCTAAATGCTTATTTACTACCATCCTCTTATAATTCCTGCATCTTGGAGGAAAGACAGACCAGTTCATTTTGAAGCAGAACGTTCATCTTTTCGACGGCTAGCATAGTCCACGGCATCAATAAATTAAGGCTTCTAGGGATTAATTGATTGGAACAAGGTTGGTTAACTTTATGACTAAATGGGAACTAATCTGCTAGCAGACAGAGCAGAGCTGGGTTACATTGGTACTCAGTGAGCCCAGGCGGAGAAAATGAAAGAAATGATGATAAAATAATGGCTACAAACAGGCACGCCAAACAGAAAAGGAAAAAGGGGGTTTTTCTCCCTAAAGAAAATGTACATAGGCTCTGTTAGATCTGAAATGATATCTGCCTCAACCTCTTTTCTTTGTGAAAATCACTACTTCTGAAACAGAAATTCTACTGAAGGAAAGATCCCATTATCAGCAGCAGTCACATTTCACAGCAATGTGATTAACTGCCGGTTCCTTCCTTCCTTCCTTTCCCCCTCCTCCTCCCCTTTTTTCATGCTTCGCTTTCCTCCCCTCCCCTCTCCCCCTTCCGACTTCCCTTACAAGGCAGGCAGTTGAAGCTGACCCTTAAGGGAAACCCCACTGGGACCTGGATATCACTTATCAAGTCTAAATACGCTGTCCTGCTTCGGGTTGACGTGAAGCGCGGCAGTCACATCTCAGAAATCGCCCCCTTTCAGAGCAAAACCCAGTCACCTTGGCCGGGAAACGCACCACCTCCATCACAGTCACACTTCAATCACCAGCCTCTCCCTCGTCTCCGCTCCTGTCCTTGCTTTGGAGTATTTACAGCCCATCTGTCTGTCTCCAACACACTTCTCACTCAAGAGGGAAATTAATCTCTCCTTCTCTCCCCTCTCTGCTTTCTCCAGCCGGCTCCTGCCCCCCTCCCCCACCGCTTGCAATTTGCCGTGAACAGCTTCCCTTTTCTCATCTAAAATTCGCGATGACTTTGAAAATTGACTGCACCCACACACCTGGGCACAGCGCGAGATAATTGATTGCATTTTTATTTCATCTCTTCCCTAAACTGTTTTCCTTGCTAATGGCCAGTTCTCTGCCATTTTTTTCTTGCTGACACGCGGCATGAGGGACTGAGGGAGAGGAAGGAATAAGCAGCTGCTGAACATCATCTCTTCTGCCTCTCCGAGGCACTGAAAGGTCAGTGACTGATGAGGATCCTGCCTGATGATGGAGAGGCTCCTCTGATGCAGACTCTCCAGGGCTTTGCAAAGGGACATTTCCTATGGCACTGCTGAAAGCAAAGGTCACTCACTCTGCTCAGCCAGGAGCTACAGGCACCTCCACCTTTCCTTGTGTCACCATCCAGACTCAGTTATGACCCCCACTTCTGCACCATCACCCCAGGCTGAGCAAGCTCCTGATTTTACAAGCAGGGAAACTGAGGCACAGCAGAGAAGGGCAATTCCCATGCAATCCCATAGCCAACTTTGGCCTAATACTATCGCTTGAGCTACACCGAGGACTTGAGCTACACTTTGGTCTAATACTATCGCCTTACGCTACACCGTGGGAGGATACAGCATCTCCCAGCCACAGTAGATGACTGCAGGACATGCAACAGCAGCCTTGGCAAGCCAGACCCATTCAGCACGCTCTTGAGATAGGAAGTACCCACAGCTGACAAAGCACAGGACTGGGAATCGAGACACCTTGTTTCTAAGCCTTGATCTCCCAGCCTGGCATCAAGTGTAGACAGAGAAGCCAAAACGTTCAGATATGGACATTGCCATTGGCTCCTAAATCCAGATGAAGGCACTTAAAAACAGAGCCAGATTTCTCAGGTGAAATATTGGCCTTCATGTCTCTGAGTCAGTTTCCCCATGATAATAATAATATGCCAACTTGATAGGGGACTGTGACTCTGCTTCTCATCCTCAGGAGTTGGTGGCAGCCATCTTATGCCATTCAGGTTGAAAGGATATTACTTACTAGTACGTCTGGTCTCAGTAAAACCCTGCCTCTCCTCCCATCTGCCTCGTATGGAGGGAAAAAAGGTGCCTCAATAATGATCAGCTTGATGAATAATGATTCAAAAAACAAAGGCAGTCCATCCGAAAAGCCCATGAACCCCACACCTCAGTCACAAGAGTGAGCGGGCTGGGAGCAAAGGACAAACACAGGAAAGGGTACAAACCAAAAAACACAGGTTGCTGTGACAAAAAGACCTGTGCGACACAGGCTAACTAGAACTGCTCTGAACTCATAAGGAAATACAATCACAGAGGAGGGGAATTAAGGTCGAGAGTAGAAGTAAGACACAAGAGGTATGGGATGGGTTTTAGAGGAGGAAAGCAACAAAATTGGTGATGCCAAATCATCAGTTGAACCTACACAGCACAGCTGTCAGGGCTACTGAGTTAGATCATTACATCCTACTTGTATCTACTTCCTTAAGGTTTTGCCTTCCTAATAAATAAGTCTGGGGACAGATGGCAGCTCAGGAGAAGCCACCTTTCAAATGACTCATGGTCACTGACCATCAAATTCTGACAGACATGTTCTATAAATCCAAAATGCCTGAACACACCCCTGAGCAAACTCACATTTGTATATTACTTACAAAAACAGTAATAATTGAAAAACAGCCAGAGTATACAATTTAGGGGAGATCATAAGCATCTTATAAAGCATTTGTCATTGAAAGTCTAGTTCTACCCATGCAATGAATAGAAATGGGGCTACTGAGGAGAAAGGTGGGAAGGAACTAGATTCAAATCCCCAGTCAGAACTTGTCTCTCTGATTTTCATACTGTCCACAGCCAGGAAGATCCTAGGCAATGAAATTAGCTTTAACGGTAATCCTATACTTGGGAGCACCAGATTGAGGAAAACCCTCAGAGAATTTACAGCCATACAAGATTTCTGCAGTGCAAGATGGCAGAAATCCTGTAAAGTAACCTGATTTTGCCTGCTTACAAACCAAAACCTAATCTAATATCATTCAGTTTAAAATCTACCCTGTACTTTAGCTTCTTTTTAAATCTATACAGCAAAGCTTGATCCCAAAGAAACTTCACCTTCTCAGTCCATAGCTCTAACCATTCAACCTCTCCAGCAAACGGTAAATTTACACATATATGGCCTAAGCCATTTGACTTCAAGTCTTATAAGGCCAGAGTTACTCTTCTGTTTTGTTAATCTGTAATGGACAGGAATATCCTTCATTTCTAACCTTTCCAGCATGGATCAGCTGACTAGATACATCAAATAATGGTGTCAGAGATGAGCAAGAGCAGGAACAGTGGGAAATAAGATTTAGCCCACACGTTCATTTAATTTTTATGATCAAAGTATTCCCAAAACCAGTTATGTCCAAAGATATCCTCAAGTTTGATAAAGGTGTCAGGCAGAAATTAGTCCCTTCTCTTCTACTATCTCATTCTGGAAAATAGAAATAAACAGTTAGTGGTTGCGGAAAGCCAGGTCAGATGCCTAAGGAAAGATTCCTGGGGATGCATCTCTGAAGGATTTCAAGGCAAGGTTTCTCCAGCAATAACAGTTAGAGGAGGGTGGGTGATATTTTTATGGACAATATAGTATGTTTGAACTATTTATTGTCTATACAAAATTGTTTCCTCTTCTATTTCAGTAAATACAAAGTTCCTGTCCAGTTTTGTACTACTAGATGTTTATATAACCTTCACTCAAGGCTCATAGATCTAAGCATAAACATGTTTGATCCTTTCCCTTCACCCCATGTGTAGACTTCTATAACTGCGGGAATGAAGAAGCCCTCCCCAAGGCAAGCTCCCTTCTCATCAGCTTACAGTGACCTCATGTCACAACCTCTGGCTTTGCCAAATGTGTGCAAACATGAAATACACGCAGGGCAGCAGTCCAATCCAGTTTTAATATTCCCTTTAAAAGTCAAACCTTCTTGATATTTATTGTCAGTCTTCAGACAAAAGCAACAATAGCCATTTCTGGTGTGCCATCCTGCCACCACCTGCCTAGCTTTCTTGGTTATCCCCGCCATTACCAAGTATCCTCTCCAGAGCTGGTCGTTGTCAGGAAGGGTTAATCACAGGCCCCTCATCTCCAAAAGGCTCCAATTAGAGCCAACATAACAACCCTTCAAAGGACATCACTGGAGAAGCCCGAGAAGAAGTATAACTAGACCATAAAGCCCTACTGTTGGAGGTGCCTGAATGCTACCAACTGGCAATTTCTCTATTTCCTATCAACCTCCCTTTTCCTGAATGTGCCATTAATATGCACTGCTGAGCAAAAGGACCAAGAGATCTGAATCCCAACACTGTGGGAAGCCTTCCTCCGTGTCCAGGCAGACCTGAACGAGCCTCTTAACTGGGTAGTTTTTATTTTTTAAAAAAGAAAAAGCTCTTGTAACCTTTGGGGCCAGCATAGGGCAGAGACTCATTTAGAAGCATTAACCCTTGTACAAGTCTGCCAGGAGTTCAGTTCCCATCCTATCTTACAGCCTTACTTTTGAGGCCAGTTGTCTCAGACTCAGGTACCAGGTACGACCTTCTGCACTCCCACGAGAAAGAAAAACCTTAAATTTGAAATGCAAAGGAGTCGATCTCAAATGGACCACATAAGTCTGATTCTCTTAGCCAGGATTTGTGGCTTTACAGTCAGACTTTTTTATTTTACAAATATATTTCATACAAGAGGGGAAATGTAACAAACAAATTGTTTAATTAAAAGATACTGCAGCAAGCAGGAAAAGAGCAATGCTGTGGAGAGAGTGGCTGTATTTTCTCTGCATTTATTTCACACAGACAGCGGTGTTAGTGACAACAAATTCAGGTAATATTAATTCCTGAAATATTTTTTTTATTTAAACTTAACAGTATTTGTTTAAAGGCAGCCTTCTAAAATGAGCAAGGTACTACTTGGCCCAGATGGTATTTGATCTGTACTGGAACTGTTTGGGCTGTCATATAAAAGCAACTGATCCTTCTACTGAAGCACAGGAGATTTACACTGATCACGCCCATTCTCACTAATGAATGTCCTCATATGGCAGTGGGAAAACAGACTTCTGGAGACTCAGTACATGCATGTATGCACATCAACGATTTTTTTTATATTTCTCTCTCTGTAACTAGAGTGCAAATGTGCAAACATTCTCACCTCTACAGATCTTCAAGAGCTTCAGTTCTCCAAGTGATCTGACTTTGGTTAGGGCCATGGTGGAGTCACTGCTGCGACTCTACTGCTATACAGACCTACTGAATGGTACCTCAGTGTTGTCAGCATTAAACTTACGACCCACCCAGTGCTGCTCTGCAGTGTCCTAAATACATAGAAATCATATCTTGCCAAAGCTGTATGTGACTTGAAATTTGCTGGAGGCCAGGAGATATATAGGGGAAATCCAAAGAGATTTCACTGGTTCAGTTTGCTGTTCTTACAATAGTTGCATATGCTTAAAAAAAAAAAATCTGGTTCTCAGTCCAGAGAAGGATTCCACCGGATCCCACTACTTCAGTGAGTCACACAAGATACAAAGCCTGCCTGAGAAGAGGAGTAAACACGTGAGTAGCCAGTGTGGCTTGAAATTCATGCTTCTTCTGCATGCTTCTGAGTTGTGGAGCAGGTGAGACCCAAGTGAGCTACTCTGCGCTAACCACTGAAGCCAACATGCTTTTCATTAGGCTCTGAACCTGCCAGAACTAATAGAAAGAGATATGTAATTACTGTGTTTGCAGATGTAGGGATGTTGGGACTCTTGTGTAAATAAGAGGTGTCCTTAGCCACAGAGAAGTGATTCCATGCCATTTAGTAAGAAGAGCTATAACTACAGCGTGATGGAAATGTCAATCACTCTCTAAATTAGAAGAATCAGACCCCAAATATGCAATGAGGAGCCCATTGGGAATGCGTGCAAGAGAAAAACATAGCATAGTTTCTTAACATGCAGATGCTGTGTGTATCTGAGGCTAAAGGAAGCTTTAAAGGAAGTAGACACATCCCAAAGGCTATCTTATAGACTCACATAGTATTCCCCTCCAGATGACCAAAGCTAACCGAGAAGAATGCCTACGGGAGAAAGGTGTCAGAGTTCCAGTGTGCTCACCTGCATCCAGAAAAACAAATTCAAATCTGGCTTTCCATAAAATGCAGGAAGCTGGCAGGTGCAGATGCTCTAGTTGCAAGGGAAGGTGAATAGGTACCCTGAGTCTGCACCTGCCATGCACATGAACTGATGAACATGGCTTGCCAGTCACGTTACGGGCTTTGGTATGGACCGGGCCTGGGCTTTGGAGGTGACAACAAGGCCAGGTAGGCACCTGCAAAATGCTGGAGCAGGTCAGATATGAGCAGGTGACCATTTGGTGAGGCATATTCACTCTGTGCATCATGCACCCACTGTGAGGGGAATGTCTTAGGTACGACTGCCAGTGGAAATATGTCCACAAGACAAAGCCTGCTGCCAGGTTTGGCACCCTTGTTGCTCATTTTCACAGAGAAGCAAGGCACTCAGTGCGCTATTGAGAAGTCTTTACTTTTCACCTCTAAAGCTGGTCCCTCCAGATGAGTACTAGGACACATTGGCATGGGTAAGCTCTTCTGTTACGTTTTTCAGGGCTATTAATTCAGCACTAAATTCACACACATGCACAATGTTCTCATCAGAAGATGTAAAAGCAATTCCTTGTATATGTCACACCACTTACAGCATCTTACAGTTACTCTGCAGAGCATTCAAGTTCAGCACCATCAAACCTACAGAGACTTTGA